GTCTTGTAGAAGATACTGGTCTACTTTAACTTCCTCGAAGTACAGTGGGGCAGCAGCTGAGGCCTAAAATATATATCAAGTAGCCGACAATGATAGGAGCAATTCTAAATTTAGTGAAAGGAAAGAGAAATAACTGAGAGGAAATTTGGATGCATAACTGAAAAAAGTCCAATACTGCTTCTAATGAAGCATGACATAGGCAGTCTTTTAGGATTCTCTTTTATATATTTGAACCGTCTGTTGCTGCACGAATGATAAAGCAAAACAAAGTGCATTTCAAATAAACACAGATAACACGTATTCCTCCTTTCCTAACCAAAACCCAGAGGAATGAAACCAGGAAATTAGTTTGACACGTTTGAGATAAAAACCACAAACCTGAATTGCCTTCCAAAGATATTGTCCCGTGCTTCCTCGGTAGTGAGAGTCACGACCAGCAGGAGCTTCATAGTTACGAAATATATATGGCTTAAGGAAAGATTAGTCAGAATCGGATCAAACCCATACTTAATCACAATACCCAGTAACCAAGAACTACAACTACAATACCTACCTGAAGAACCGGCGAGTTTACAATGGCGGCAACGATACTTAGACGAGGTACTACAGCCTTACTCGTTTCAATAATAGTAAGATCTTCTCCAATAACCTAAAACATTACCTCACTACTTCATAGATGTGAACTTGCTTTACTCACTCGGCCTAGGTTGAGCCACTTTTAAATGGTATATACGACAAAAGAACCATTAAAGATAAAGCCATAAAAATAACACGAAGGAGGAAACGAAATTCTCACCTCTTTCAGAATTTTCATCCATTTCTTAGTATCATAGTATGAATGATTCAAAACAACTCCACTCACACCAGTCAAACGGCTTTGTGAAAACAACCTAAAAAAATTTTAATATAGGTGAACGAGTACAGCCTGTTAATTACTACATGTTTTCATGAAAGACAAAGGGAGCGAAGGTAAAATTTCATAATAACGACATAAACTTATAATAGCAGTAAAATCGTACTTTCTAGAGACGTCCACGTAAACCTCGCGACATTCCTCGACGCTGTACCCTTTTCCAATTAATAGACTGGAAATGATGCTGCCTGTGCTGACGCCCACTACGTGATCGAATAACTCGCAGATCTAAAAATGCCNTAGGTGAACGAACACAGCTTTTTAATTACTACATATTCCCATAAAAAACAAAGAATGTAGAGGAAAAATAACATAATGACGACACAAACTTATAATAGTAGTAAAATCGTACTTTTTAGAGACGTCCACATAAACCTCGCGACATTCCTCGACGCTGTACCCTTTTCCAATTAATAGACTAGAAATGATGCTGCCTGTGCTGACGCCCACTACGTGATCGAATAACTCGCAGATCTAAAAATGCCGAATGAGACCT